GGAAAAATGATTTCACGCTAAGGTTCAAAATACGTCATTTGAAATACCCTAGTGTGTCTTCTTTAAGAAATGGTATGCCGGGGGCGTGGCCTGAACACGGAGCAAGCTGGACTCGTTTGCCTAGAACTCTGCTCCGACCGCACCACTAGAAAGCCTATAAATGGCCTCTGAATAAAAACCTTAGTTGACTCCCAGAACTGTGTTTCGTCAGGTTACTGAGGGATTTGGGATATTGCCTTACTTTTCAGCACTTGACTTTGGATTACTTTCTGTACCAGCGGAGATCGTGGAATTTAATATTGCAGCTCCGCTACAGTTGACATTGGGAAATCTATGTACCGCTTCCCCATGGAACTGGAGATTGAGCCCCCACCTGCTGAGAGACCGTGAATCCCAGGAAGCAATCTGAAAAGAACTTCAAGATTACTTCACCACAAACGAAACGGAGGACATGACCCCAGGCATTATATGGGCCGCACACAAGGGCGTAATTAGGGGCACATGCATCAAATTGGCCACACGGAAAAAAGCTCAAAAGACGCAGAGACTGGTCCAACTGCTAGAATCACTAAGAAAGGTGGAACTACAACACAAGACCACACCGACCCTCCAGATCCTGGAACATCTAACGGAGACCAGATGATCCATCACCGAATTACTATTGGATGACACAGCGAAAGCGCTCATATGGACCAAGAGAAAGAGAAAACAAATAAGATGGACACTCTATTGGCTAGGACACTACGTCCACGACAGGACAGGACACACATCACCTCGATCAAACATAAAGATGGCTCCATCAAAAATACCCCCTCAGATATAGCTCAGGTCTTCACAGACTACTATGAGAAGCTATATAATCACACACCCAGAGACCCTAAGGCACAGGAAGAGACGGAATTGCGAATGAGAGCCTTCCTGAAAAATCTCGACCTACCAAAGCTAGCAACAGCAGCAGCTCAACTATTGAACGATAACATTACAGGAGAAGATATAGATAAGGCAATTGCAGGCCTCAAAGACAATAAAGCCCCGGGACCAGACGGATTCGATGGAGCGTATTACAAAACCTTCAGAGAAGAACTCTCACCCCGCTTGGAAAGGCTCTTCAACGACTTCATGGAAGGAGGGAACCCAGAGAGGGAGATGTCAATGGCCAACATAATACTACTCCAAAAACCTGGGAGAGACCCTTTACTCCCAGATAACTACAGACCTATCTCCCTTATCAATCATGATATAAAGATCCTAGCGAAAATTCTGTCGGACCATCTCAACCCCTTTTTAAAAACTCTAATCCACTCTGACCAAGTGGGTTTCATACCTGACCGACAACTATTTGAGAACACATCGACCTCATTTGGCGACAAATGACCATGGACACACCTACCGTAATAGTATCGATAGATGCAGAGAAAGCCTTTGATAGGGTAGAATGGCCCTATCTTTTTAATCTCCTGACATTTTTGGGAATTCCGGAAAAATACGTGTCCACCATTAAAGCCGTGTATAACCAAGTATACCAAGTGAAAATGGCTGGCTCCAGGCCTAAACCCTTTAAACTGGGGAACGGAACAAGGCAGGGATGCCCCCTATCCCTGCTCCTGTTCGTGCTCACTCTGGAACCACTTTTACAAGCTCTGCGTAAACACCCTCTCATACAAGGGATTACAGTGGGAGGCCAGGAGTTCCTCGTCTCCGCTTATGTGGACGACGTCCTCCTGACACTCACAAACCCGAAAGAATCCATGGGTGCCCTACAAGAAGTCCTTACATAATTCGGAGCTTTCTCGGGCTACAACTTGGAAAAATCCAGCGCTCTGCCGATGGGCCTGTCTGTAGCGGACATGGCGGCACTACGAGCAAATCAAAACATCCCCATTGCAAAGGGCCACACAAAATATCTAGGGATCTAATTACCGAGCGATCCGACCAAAATATACCAACTGAATTATGCACCGCTTATACGAACACTAATGCAAGATATGGGAAAATGGCTAGATAAACCCATTTCTTGGATCGGACGTATTCATGCGGTAAAAATGAATGTATTGACCCGTATTTTGTTCCTCTTTCAGGCACTACCCATTAAACTCCTAAAATCAGATCTAGCCCCACTACAAAAAGCTATTGGAGATTTCATATGGCAAAACCGATGCCATAGAATATCTTGAAACATCCTATTCAGACAGAGAGGGGGACTGGAACTACCACATTTATATTTTTATTATTTAGCAGCACAACTTGCCCAGGTGGTCATGTGGCACGCACCACTGGAAATAAGGAGATGGGTAGACTTAGAGTCCCTCCTAACCGGACCAGACCTACCCCAATACCACATGTGGGTACCCAAAGAATATAGGCCAATTTTGAGAACAAACTGCCCGGCAATATTAAACTCCCTAAGAATATGGGATACATCGGCACACAAATACGAACTGTCAACCTTTCCATCCCCATTAACACCCCTACTGAGAAATAGAGCCTTCCCCCCAGGGATGGCACCTAGAGAGTTCGCAAACATAGAAAAAGTGGGATTGCAAAGAATCTGCCACATGTTTGAGGACAATGATGTAGTGTCATTTGAACACCTAAAACAGAAAGCACACCTCACGCCCGCAGATTTCTTTCGGTATTTACAACTGAAAGACTTCACACAACACCCCCAAATACAAAAGGCTGGGAAGGGACCTTTGACCTTCTTCAAGAAAATGTGCCTCAAAGAAACAACACCACAGGGACTAATAACCATGATGTACTCACATATCTGTTCCGAAACACAGGAGTGGGGTACACTGACATACACGGACACATGGGAAAGAGAACTGGGAGAGGTACTAGAAGGGGTGGAATGGAGGGAAATATGGGAGGCAAATAATTTGTTATCTATATGCGTATCTGTCCAGGAACAATCACTCAAAACAATTTTCAGATGGTACACCACCCCGGTCAAACTGTATCATATGAAACAAACACCATCTGACGACTGTTGGAGAGGATGCGGCCACAGGGGCACTTACCTCCATATGTGGTGGGAATGCCCAATGGGTACAAAACTATTGGAAGAAAGTTTATAATATAGTCAAGAAGCTTTTCCATAGAGCTCCAGAGCTAAACCCTTGGACATACTTACTAAACAGACAACTAGATGACTGGACAAAAAGAGAACAGAAATTGATCCATAAAATCACATTAGCAGCTAGGAGAGCCCTAGTTCAGTCTTGGCTAAAGGTAGATATGCCACCTATTAAGAGGGTTATCTCCAACATAAAAGAGGTATACCTAATGGATAATCTGACAGCAAGGGTGAGAGGATACACAACCAAATTTGAAAAAATGTGGGAACCCTGGACAAGTAGTGAGTATGTCGGACACAACATAACCCATCCCTCATAGGAGCAGGGTCTCGACAGGAGGGCTCCCATAAAGACCGTGCACAAGGGGAGGAACTCCGGTCCCGCCGCGCTGTACACCGCAACGACATACTCCACCCCCCCGTCTCTCTTCTCTTCTCCTCCCCTTGACTATTTCTCTGTCTTATAAATTTTCTTTATTTTCTACACAGGTACAGAGTCCTACACCCTAACTTACACCGCGGCCCTCTGACACCTACAGGGCTACACAAAAAAGGGCCAAGTTACTAAGTCCCCTCCCAAATACCAAGCAATACTACAGACACCGAAAACTACTCACCTTAGAAGGTTTTTTTAATCGCTTACCGCTGTTTTTTCTCCAAGTTATACGACACAAAAAAAAAATGTAAAGGATCTAAGTTGTAACTAGTAACAGACTTGTTTAATTAAAAACAAACTAACAATGGTGATGTAACAGAGGCCATGTTAACATGTATGCCAAGTATCACATGTCTGACACATACTGTTTGTAATATTTAAGACAAGATTTTTCACGCAAAAATAAAGTTTAAAAAAAAAAATGGTATGCCTTTATGGGTTAGTTAGAATAATCAACCTATTGAAACTCCAAAGTGGGATATGAACCCAGCATAAAAATTCAAAGTTTGAAAAAAACTTAAATGGCTGTGACTCAAATGTGCCCTTTCAATGTCCACATATACCTGGCAACATTACATATGGGGGTATTTCTGTACTCAACATAGCTTAAAAAAAAAAAATAAATCCTCAGTAGGAGGCAAGGCACATTGGGATCAGTAAGAGGCTTCTGCGCAAGCCCGAAACTATGAGCTGTACCTATCGAATGAAAAAATAAAGAATTAAAAAAAAAAAAAACAACATAGCTGAGCAACAAACTGAGTATTATACAGCCTTGCACATATAAGGTTTGCAAAATATACAGTACAAACTCACTGTGTGTGTCAAAAAGGCAGAAAAAAATGCTTATTACCACTACACTTGGTACAAGCTAGCAGAAAAATTATTTCAGGCTAAGGTTCAAAATATGTCATTTGAATTACCCTGGGATGTGTTCTTTAAGAAATGGTAGGCCTTTATGGGGTATTTGGATTATATAGCCTGGTAAAATATTTTAAAATAGAATACAGACCCGTCAAAACCATGTATGAAAATTCACACTTAAAAATCTGAAATTGACAGATCTCTTTTTTTTTTTTTAAATTCTTTATTTTTGATTCGACACGGAATGCGGCATAGCAAAATACAGCGGCTCACGCAGGGGCCGATTACAAGACAGTGTTACTTGGCTTTCAACAGTGGTTAAGTGTTTAATAGGTTAGGAGACATTGGTTTTTGCCGCTCTGTGTCGGTTTTTATATTGGGGGGCAGTTTGTGCCCGTACAAAAAATACAAAAAACACAAAAAACAAAGAACTAGGAGCACAACAGTGCAACACAATAAGGTCGAATACAATAATCTCTGAGTGTTTAATACAGGTTTCACAGCGCTTTCCACCCGACTCACATTGGGTACATTGAGTCTATTTTCGCTGTTCTGCGTGGGGCAGTACTGATTTATGAGGTGTCGGTTATGTGCTCTGGACAATGTCGTGAGACCGTCAGCTTCGTGTCATGGTGGGTTTGCTATCGGTTTGGAGTTGCGTCCATCGGCTACATTCAATGTCGGCCCGTCCCATGAGCCATCCCAAGTCGGGGTCTGATTTGGACGCGGATAGCGGTGCCCTGTCGTCGTTTCTTGTGGCCGTGGGTAGCTTCGTGAAGAGGCCCTAGTGACGGGTCGTGCGTTGTCAGTGGTCACTGTGCTGTACTTTGTAGCCGAAATACCAGTTTGTAGATGTAGTGTAACTTGTTGGTTTGGTATTTGTGTGGGTTCTTCCTGGTGTCTGATTGGTAGGGTTTTAGGGCTTTGTATGCAGCTTTTACTGTCATCCCCCGATCTCCCTGTCTAAAGGTGGAGGGAGGGGGGGGGGGAAAGGGGAGGAGGGAAGGGGAGCGCTGTTCGCTGGGGCGTGCGGCGGATCCAGGCCCTTCCGAGGCCTCTGTCCTTATCCTGCTTATGTAGGTTTAGTCGTCGAGATAGTCTTCCCAAGGTTGCCATATTTTATGGAATGATTTCTCCGTGTTCCTAATTTGGGCTGTGAGTTTGTCCATCAAATGTGTATCTTTAACTTTAGCTATCACGTCATCGTCTGTGGGTAACGTGGGCTTAAGACACCCCTGGGCTAGAGCCCTTCTGGCCGCTAGTGTGATTTTATTATAGAGCTGTTGTTCTTTTCTAGGGAGGCCGTCTATGGGTTTGGACAGTAGAACCGTCCATGGGTCTAGATCTATACTTTTCTTCAGCACGTCAGTTAGTAAATTTTCTTTATTTTCTACACAGGTACAGAGTCCTACACCCTAACTTACACCGCGGCCCTCTGACACCTACAGGGCTACACAAAAAAGGGCCAAGTTACTAAGTCCCCTCCCAAATACCAAGCAATACTACAGACACCGAAAACGACTCACCTTAGAAGGTTTTTTTAATCGCTTACCGCTGTTTTTTCTCCAAGTTATACGACACAAAAAAAAAATGTAAAGGATCTAAGTTGTAACTAGTAACAGACTTGTTTAATTAAAAACAAACTAACAATGGTGATGTAACAGAGGCCATGTTAACATGTATGCCAAGTATCACATGTCTGACACATACTGTTTGTAATATTTAAGACAAGATTTTTCACGCAAAAATAAAGTTTAAAAAAAAAAATGGTATGCCTTTATGGGTTAGTTAGAATAATCAACCTATTGAAACTCCAAAGTGGGATATGAACCCAGCATAAAAATTCAAAGTTTGAAAAAAACTTAAATGGCTGTGACTCAAATGTGCCCTTTCAATGTCCACATATACCTGGCAAAATTACATATGGGGGTATTTCTGTACTCAGACAACATAGCTTAAAAAAAAAAAAAAAATCCTCAGTAGGAGGCAAGGCACATTGGGATCAGTAAGAGGCTTCTGCGCAAGCCCGAAACTATGAGCTGTACCTATCGAATGAAAAAATAAAGAATTAAAAAAAAAAAAAACAACATAGCTGAGCAACAAACTGAGTATTATACAGCCTTGCACATATAAGGTTTGCAAAATATACAGTACAAACTCACTGTGTGTGTCAAAAAGGCAGAAAAAAATGCTTATTACCACTACACTTGGTACAAGCTAGCAGAAAAATTATTTCAGGCTAAGGTTCAAAATATGTCATTTGAATTACCCTGGGATGTGTTCTTTAAGAAATGGTAGGCCTTTATGGGGTATTTGGATTATATAGCCTGGTAAAATATTTTAAAATAGAATACAGACCCGTCAAAACCATGTATGAAAATTCACACTTAAAAATCTGAAATTGACAGATCTCTTTTTTTTTTTTTAAATTCTTTATTTTTGATTCGACACGGAATGCGGCATAGCAAAATACAGCGGCTCACGCAGGGGCCGATTACAAGACAGTGTTACTTGGCTTTCAACAGTGGTTAAGTGTTTAATAGGTTAGGAGACATTGGTTTTTGCCGCTCTGTGTCGGTTTTTATATTGGGGGGCAGTTTGTGCCCGTACAAAAAATACAAAAAACACAAAAAACAAAGAACTAGGAGCACAACAGTGCAACACAATAAGGTCGAATACAATAATCTCTGAGTGTTTAATACAGGTTTCACAGCGCTTTCCACCCGACTCACATTGGGTACATTGAGTCTATTTTCGCTGTTCTGCGTGGGGCAGTACTGATTTATGAGGTGTCGGTTATGTGCTCTGGACAATGTCGTGAGACCGTCAGCTTCGTGTCATGGTGGGTTTGCTATCGGTTTGGAGTTGCGTCCATCGGCTACATTCAATGTCGGCCCGTCCCATGAGCCATCCCAAGTCGGGGTCTGATTTGGACGCGGATAGCGGTGCCCTGTCGTCGTTTCTTGTGGCCGTGGGTAGCTTCGTGAAGAGGCCCTACTGACGGGTCGTGCGTTGTCAGTGGTCACTGTGCTGTACTTTGTAGCCGTAATACCAGTTTGTAGATGTAGTGTAACTTGTTGGTTTGGTATTTGTGTGGGTTCTTCCTGGTGTCTGATTGGTAGGGTTTTAGGGCTTTGTATGCAGCTTTTACTGTCATCCCCCGATCTCCCTGTCTAAAGGTGGAGGGAGGGGGGGGGGAAAGGGGAGGAGGGAAGGGGAGCGCTGTTCGCTGGGGCGTGCGGCGGATCCAGGCCCTTCCGAGGCCTCTGTCCTTATCCTGCTTATGTAGGTTTAGTCGTCGAGATAGTCTTCCCAAGGTTGCCATATTTTATGGAATGATTTCTCCGTGTTCCTAATTTGGGCTGTGAGTTTGTCCATCAAATGTGTATCTTTAACTTTAGCTATCACGTCATCGTCTGTGGGTAACGTGGGCTTAAGACACCCCTGGGCTAGAGCCCTTCTGGCCGCTAGTGTGATTTTATTATAGAGCTGTTGTTCTTTTCTAGGGAGGCCGTCTATGGGTTTGGACAGTAGAACCGTCCATGGGTCTAGATCTATACTTTTCTTCAGCACGTCAGTTAGTAGTGTCTGTATGCGCTTCCAGTATTTGTTTAGTTCTGGGCATTCCCACCACATGTGCACAAAGGTGCCTTTACCTCCACAGCCCTTCCAACATGTGTCTGTCGTGGTTTTCCCCATTCTGTGTAGCTGCACAGGTGTAGTGTACCATCTCATGAGCATTTTATATGACTGTTCTTGGTGCAGTACACAGATTGAGGTTTTAGCTGTCGCCTCCCAAATGTCCACCCAGTCCTCTCCTTCCAGTGTCGCCCCCAGGTCCGCCTCCCATTGGCCAATGTAACGTGGGTCTTTAGCGTCTTTAATTGGGGCACTGAGTTGTGTGTATATAGTGGTTATTAAGCCTTTTTGTACGGTTTCGGCATTACATAATTGTTCGTAGAACGTCATTGGGGTGTGGGCAGCTTTTCTGACTTCCGGGGTTTTGGCGAAGTCTCGTAGTTGGATATGGCGAAATACATCTTTTGTGGTCAGGGGCGCTAAGGTTTTCAGGCTATCGAACGTTCTGAAGGAGTCCCCCTCATACATATGGCCGTATCTCTGCATCCCCGTACTCTATATGCCCCTAAAGTCTCGTGCGCTCAGCCCGGGTTCAAACGCTTTATTCCTCAGATACGGGGTTAGTGGTGAGGGTGTGTGTTTAAGTGAGTATTTGGTGGCTGTGTTGTCCCAAATTCGTATGGAATTTAGGATTGCCGGGCAGGTGGTCTGTAGGGCAGGTCTGTCCTGTCTGGGCACCCATATCCAGAATTGTGGGAGATCGGTGCTCATTAATTTCGTTTCCAGGTCGACCCAACGATGTGAGCCTTCTGGTGCGTGCCAAGCCACTATTTGGGCTAATTGAGCCGCCAAGTAGTATTGATACAGGTTTGGGAGTCCTAATCCTCCCTTTGACTTCGGTCGGTATAACACCTGCCTAGCTACTCTGTGTCGTTTCTGTGCCCATATAAAGTTATCTATGCGTCTTTGCAGCGTCGTTAGATCTTGTTTAGTGACTTTGATCGGCAGGGCTTGGAATAGGAACAGCAGGCGAGGTAGCAGTGTCATTTTTATCGCGTGTAATCTCCCTATCCATGAGATTGGCTTGTCTTGCCATTTTTCTAAGTCCCTGCATAGTGTTTGTAATGTGGGTGTGTAATTCGCATCATACAGTCTCTCCGGGTCTGCAGTTAGTTTAATCCCTAAATATTTGATGTCAGTTCTTGTAAAGTTGAGGGAGTGGTTAGCTTTTATGGCATTGATCTCCGCCGTCTCCATTTCTAGTGGCATGGCCACTGATTTTTCTAAATTAATTTTATAGCCTGATACCCGTCCGTAGTCCTCGAGGAGGTCGAGGAGGCATGGCAGGGAACCCTGGGGGTTGGCAAGTGTGACCATGGTGTCATCTGCATACGCAGAGACTTTGTATTCCTCCCCTCCTGCCCTAATGCCCGTTATGTTCCTATCCTCCCTTATCCTCAGTAGAAGAGGCTCCAGTGCTAGGACGAACAGCAGGGGGGAAAGGGGGCAGCCCTGTCTGGTGCCGTTGGCAGTCTTGAACGGGGTCGGAGCTGTCCCCGGTACTGCCGTTTGGGCTTGTGGTTCTGTATACAGGGCTTTTATTCCCTTTATGAATGTTTCTGGCATACGCAGGTGCCCCAACAGTGAGAAAAGGTAGTGCCACTGGACCCTGTCGAACGCCTTCTCTGCATCCAAGGATAGGATCAGAGAAGGCGTCCGAGTCCTCACTGCCCACCATATGACATCCGCCCCCCTCCTGGTGTTTTCGTATAGTTGTCGAGATGGTACGAAGCCGACTTGGTCTGGGTGGACCAATGTACCCAGGAGGGGATTGAGACGCGTCGCTAGGATTTTTGCAAACACCTTAACATCAAAATTAATCAACGAGATAGGCCTGTAGTTCCCGGCCTCCGTAGGATCTTTACCTGGTTTGGGGATGAGTGTGATGTCTGCCGTAAGTGTTTCTGGATTAGGGTGTCCCCAGTCCATCCATTCCATGTATACCTTCACCAACCTTGGGGTCAACGTGTCTCTAAGGAGTTTATAGTAGGAGCCATCGTAGCCGTCTGGGCCCGGTGCCTTGTTCCCTTTGAGTGCTGTGATTGCCTTATCTACCTCGTCCCCCTCTATCGGAGCTCCCAGAGTCAGTATGGCTTCTGGCGTCAAACTCTTCATATGGGTATTGGATACATAGTCTGCGACCGTTCGTTTGTATGTCTCATTGTTGCTATTTAGTTCTGGGGAGTGGTTAAAGATGTTTGCTAGGAGCTCCGAGAATATTTGATTAATTTCCTTGGGGTTATGTGTCATCTGTCCCGATTTGTCCCTAATCGCCGTTATGGCCTTGAATTGTTGTTTGGGGTTTAGGGCCCTGGCTAGGAGGG